AAGAATCTGAGAATCAAGAAGGGTTGAATGCAAAGGAAGAAGAAATAAAAGATGATTCTGCAGAACAAGAATCTGAGAATCAAGAAGGGTTGAAGACAAAGGAAGAAGAAAGTAGTGAAAAGATTGAAGGAAATAAAGGAAATGTTGAACAACCTAAAGAAGAAGAAAATACCGAAGAARATAAACGAGATGAGGAAGATAAAAGTGCTGCTGACAAAAGCAATGACATTAAATTCCTCGCACGACAAGTTTTAATGGACGCGAGAAAGAAAGCTGGCGCGAGTAATGTGTTACCTAGGGAACGAGTGGCTGATATCACCGTCACGCAATCCAGGCAGGAAAAGACTGAAGAAGGAAGTGAAGAGAACCACACCACAGGAAGCGCAGAGCTATCATCCAAGACCAACATTACGCTGGACAATGATGTAAATGAAGAGATGGAAAATAAAAGGCCGTCTATTGGCAAGAAACCTGCTATACGTCCAAAACCAAGTGGAGAAACTGTGCTAGAAAAACTGCAGGTTTGTTGAAAACTACTCAAATCCAAAGATTATGTACTAAGAGAACAAACTACAAACGGCCCGCCCACTCTCCCTTCCACAGACCCCTTGAAGCACGTCGGAATGCAGCTCTATTCTGAGGATATAACAAGAGGTTTGCAGTTCTATTGAAATTCTTTTGTTTTGTCCTTAAAATTGAGCTGCTTGGACGTCAAATGCAAGGGGTCTATAACAAAYCCTACCCACTCCATAAACCACACACGGCATCTCGTATAGCATTGTCTTTCAAGTAATTATTTACCGGGTTGTCTTCAGGCCGAGAAAGATCGCCAGGAAAAACTCAACACAACGGCACGAGATGGTTTAGAAACGAAGAAAAAGAGAGACACGGATACCAAGGTATTCTTGACGCGAAAATTTGTTTATCTTAGCTATACAGCTCCTAAGAAAAAAACTTAGAAACAAGTTAACTCGAAAAAACGACATGTTCAAAAAAAACCCAAACAAGATGCCATTCGTTGATGGGGCTCCAGTGAACTATTCTGGCGGGAAATTTTCGCGCCAAAATGTGCACGCTCGCCCCATGTTCCATTGTAATTAGTATAGGAAATCAAAACAAAACATCACGAGTATCTATAAAATCCGAATTGTACGAGAAGACCGTGCGATTTTTTGCTTATAACATACTCAAAAAATTGAGCAACTTAATTGGGACTCTATAGAGTACAATTTGGGATTTAATTGTACTCCTCTTGTCCAATCATAATCGAGTAATTTTGAAGAGTGTATTATGAAAACAAAAATATCACAGACAAAGTGGTTACTTTTATTTTTAACAACTTCTTTTATTCCTAGAGCGAAGACACAAAACAGCGACAGACACGTACCAAAGTAAACAGTTTGATCAGTCACTCACAACAGAGAGACAGACAAAAGGAATCGTCAAATGAATCACTAAACAGTGATGCGAAGACGACTACAAACAAGGAAGATCAAGAGCCTAAAATCCCTGATAAAAAGACAAGCCATGTTATGGAGCACAGACCCTTGAAATTCAAATTCCAAAAAGAATTAGACAGAGACAACGAGAATCAAAACACTACGGAAAAAACTGAAAAACACGAGTTTGAAGAAAGCGAGAAAATCAAGCGATTACGTGCGGTTTTGAATGACGGTAAAGAATCTAAAGAAAGCGATGGATCAGAGTCTGAGACAGAGCGAAGAAGGTCAAAGTATTCAAGCTCTGATGCTGAATCACCCAAACCCGCGAAACGATCGAGTCGCTCGCTTGAACAAAACGGACGTGCGCGGCTTTCGAGCTATGATAATGATTCTCCTTTAAAGCGGTCAAGTCAGTTAACGGAAAAAGTAAAGCCAGAAAAACGAAAAGAAGAATCATCTCAACCGCCTATGGTTCAAGATGAAGACAAAGTCGAGGAAGACAGGACTAAAGATACAGAGGTTAAGGCCTCTTCCGAACCGACTGACATCCCAAAAAGAAAACACTCCAAAGATACAGAGATTGGAAGTCCAAAGAAAACATACATCAGTCCCACAGCCGCGGCACAAGCCTACGCTGAGACTAGGAAAATGAACTTTGATAAGTTTGAATTGCCTGTTGTTGCGCAGCCGCCCCCTAAACCTCCAAGGACTATGATATACGATGATAATGAGGAAGAGAAAGATGGGGATAAGAAAATTAATGGTAATGTATCCATCAGAACGGAATTAGTGCGTTTATGAAAACATACTTAATATCAAATTGCGCTCGACTGTCTAACGGCACTACACGATACAGAGTTGATCGACGCACCCAATCACATCACGCGCTCGCGAGATCGCATTGCTTGGCCAATCAGAATGCACAGTCATGTTACATCACGGTCACGGCAAGGGACGTCCGAGATTTTCTCAATCATGCGAAACAGACCCTTCTAGCTTGGGTATAATGCTTTCCCATTTCAGGCCACGTGTCATTCTCTTGAGAATAAGATTCTTTGCTTGAGTTCTATCCATATTCATATAACATGCGCAACCACATAGTCTGACGTCTCGTACCGTGATCGTGACAGCGGTATAAAGTCTAAAGATTAAACGTACTCCAACTACGACACTCAATACATGCATCATTTAATATAATGAGGTCTAACTGAATCTATTTTTTATGTTCGTTGCAGAAGATTCTGTAGAATCTGTTGAGAATGAACAGAAAGATACCAGCGATGATCTGAAAGACTCTCTGGTGAGTATTAGATAATCTATTACCCACTTTCTGTGGATCCATTCGCTGTTAAGAAATAAATCAATTGCTTTCGTATCATGAGGGTAACTAACCTTTGTCCCTTGATTGAAGTGAAATTTATAAATGTTTATATTTGCGGAGAAAACATAGAGGAAACCTCCCGATGGATGCAGTGACCGTGTTCAAGAACACAGCGGTGGAAGGCGGCGCATAGCAGCGCATGCGCACACCATCCTCGCTTCCAATATCGTACAAAGAGCTGGRTACGAGATTGCTTCGCTTCCAAAGCGTGTCACTATTCCACACGCTTTGCTGTAAATAAATGCTATATTAGAATTGAAGCCCTGTTTGAGTGATGGAAAGTAGTTAGTCCAATAATAATGCTCATAGCTCAACGATGGTTCCTTCTTTTCAACACGATACAGAATCCATTTGAAGACGAGTTTGAACGATGCCTGGAGAACGAAACCTCGGTAAGATTTAAAAACAGTTCTCACTTGCATCACAACACAAACACGAGTATATGGGGAACATAAGCACACGCGTTGCAACTCTTCTCTATCAGATGCTATAGTAGCTCCCTACCCAGGCGTTCTTAGGGTCTGTCACGCAGAAATTGCAAACACAAACGCAGGAAAAAGTCTAACATTTTTATCTTTGAGCTTGTGCTTGCGTCGTAGTGAAAACCGGCTCGAATCTCGAATTTTTTTTATTTATTTTGTCGACAGGAATTCCAAGACACGACAGAGTACGTTAAACAGGAGTTGATAGCCCTGTCCATGGAACAAGAAGCACTGGATAAAGTTGCTGCTAAACTAGAAAAAGAATTACGCGAAGCCATGAAACGAAAAGGTGTGTGTGTCTACCGCGGTGGCACAAATAAAGATGCATATTGTTAGGTCCTACCGCTTTACATCAGGTGCATTCTGGTATATCTTGGGTAGAAAACATTGCGAAGTAATATAAACCCTTGCAGTACGTCTGAATGCAGCTCAATTTGGAGGACATAACAATAGGTTTCCAATTCTCAGTAGATTGAATTTTTTATGTTTTGTCCTCCAAACTGAGCTGTTTTGACGTCACATGCAAGGGTTTTTTTGTTACTCAAGCCAGTACAGTTGTTCTTACCTTATTAGAACAGGTGTATTCTTGTATTTTTGTATTATTATTATTATTTTTTTTTTATCTATTTGAGATTTTGCGCGCAGGCAAGTGCTGCACAGTAAGACTCAGGGTCCCCTTCGAGGTACATTGCAACAATTTCCCACCCCGTAAAATCCCCATACCCATCCCACAAACAACCCTTTAACACATCATTAGTAAAGGCCAGACACTGAGGGTGGTCACTGCCAGGGTTTCTTTACGTCCTCAGTGTTTCTTTGACGTCCCTCCATTTTACTTGGCCATCCGAGCCACTTGCAGATCTAACCATTTGCAGATGTAATTATAAATGCAGCACTTTCTCCTCAGTTACTTTAAGACCCTGAGTGTTGGTCCGGCCGGGACTCGAACCGCGACCTCCCGCTCGAAAGTCCGATGCTCAACCAACTGAGCTTGGGTAGAAAATTTTTTTGTGTTGCCGCATATATGGTGTTTTATGGATTACTCAACCCAAACTAGAATAGAATGCACCTTGTTTGACTTGGATAAAAAGGAAACTGGAAGTATCGATTTTATTGTTCTTTGTCCTCGTGATTGATAATATTAGCAATCGTTTCTGACTTGACAGGATGCGAAGAAGAAGAAGAAAAGCTCCTACAAGAATGGTTTATCCTAGTGAACAAGAAGAGCGGGTTGGTCCGAAGACAAGCAGAACTCAGCTTACTGTAAGATGACGTGGTTATCAGTTACATTGACCAGGACTAGGTCCATGTGGATTAGACCTATTTACTGGAAGCGTAATTTTTCTTATTTCAGACCACTTCGCATTCCATTGAGTATCATTTCTTTGTAGGGAACGCTGGATAAAATACATTTACTTTAATGTATTTAAGCAAAGATATCTATCTTCCTTGGGAAGTGATGCACGATCAAACTCGGTTTTGACATAGGGCTGTATTCAGGAACTGAAATATGTGTTCTTTGTAGTACTATAAACTAATTACGATTTTGAGACAACAATACCACGAAATATTGACGAATAATATATTCAAGTGTCATTAATGGAATATTATTCATGTGTTACAGAGAGAAAGAGGATGATCTGGAGCGAAGATTTGAGATGCTAAATAGAGAACTGAGAGCACTGTTGGATAAAGAAGGTATTATCATGATCATCATCATCATCACCATTATCATCAAAATCATCATCATCACCATCATCATCATTACCATCACAAACATCATGATCACCATCATCATCGTCATCATCATCCCCATCTCATCATCATTATCATCATCATTACCATCATCACCAACATCATCACCATCTTCATCATCGTCATCACCATCATCACCATCATCATCAGTATCACTATGATCATCATCACCATCATCAACACCACTGTCGTTATCGTCATCAACGTTAATATTCTTTTTCTCGTAGACCTGGAGAAAACTAAAGAAGAGAGAAAACGGGAAAACGATCTTCTGGCAGAACTAGTAACACTGGTGAACAAACGAGATCAACTGGTCCAGATCGAAGACACTCAGATACAACAGTAAGTCAGCTACCGCATAATCTGACAAAAAATATTAGCCAATCAGAATCGAGGAAATCTGCAAAACTGATGTGTCAATTTTCCTCTAGAAATAATGGATTTTCTTTCTGTTTTTCTTTTTCTTTTTTTAGGGCCGAGCGTGACGAGCAACATATCCAACGTGTGATGAAAACCGTGCAAATCCCTCAGCGCGAAAAGAATGAATGTGTCCTGCAGTAACTGCACAACGTTTTGCATTGTCATTGCACGTTAGTTACCCTGTGTGCCAGAGGCCCGTGTGGGGGTTGGGGAGGAGAGAGGACCTCTGGTACCCAGGGTACACGGTAGTAGGAGGAAGCGCAAGAATGAAGCAATTCAAGATCAGACTCCAAACACATACACAAGGCTTGTATCATTGCTACTAAATTACATTGAATTTCTTTCAAGGGCTTTTGAATTGAAAAGGCATTGAATTCGGCAAATTCCGTCCCTCAAAATAGCTACAAATTCTTGGTAAGCGTGTGACGTCATAATTGCCATGTTGGTTGACTTGCACGCTACCAAACACAAGTACGATTTTCGTTCAAATCAAAAATTACATTCCAATCGGAAAAAATTAGATAATTATCATGTTGGCAATATATTTTTAATGGAAAGCTTTAAGAAATCTTTATTTACTGGTTTTGCACTTCATGGATTTGACTTTTTGACGAAGACGATATTTTCGAAATATATCGGCGAAATATCTCTGGTTGTTAGCGAAGATGACAACGCTTTTCATTTCTTCTAGTTTTGATAACTCTTTTTCTGCTTTGAGTATTTTTATTGTGTTGAAATTCCCACTAGAAATTATTTTTGCATGTCACTGAAAATATACCTTGTCAAATAATTTTACGCTTACATTTCTGTAATACTATTATCAACATGCCGCTATTAAAATGCAATCTGAAATTCCTTTTAGTAAAACAAAAGAATTGTTTTACAATACTAGGGAGAAACCACAATATTATATTTACAGAACAAGGAAAAAGTTAATATGTCTAGGAACAATGTTGCTCGAAAATAACAAAGCTTTTTGAAGCTGCATGACTTTTCGAAACCCATTTAGTTATATTCTATTCTACTAAATTAAATAGATATTGTTATTTTAGATATTGAATATTAAAGAATATTAAAAATAATTATACCAATGACTTATTAAGATTCTTTCTTTCTTTCTTYCTTCCTTCCTTCCTTCCTTCCTTTTTCTTTCTCTTTGTTTTTTTTTCTTTTTCTTGTTTTGTCCTCTATAGCTACCTGATTATAGGAATATCCTATCTATTATTAATAACTAGACTTATGACTTTATTTCTCTTTAACTTATCACCAAGACGTCCAACAATAGACAAAATACTCCATCAACTCAATAGCGCAGCGCGCTCATTCTAAAAATAGCTTAAAGATTCGGACAAACATTGCATTCTGTTTAACCGCTACGATGATTATACGAACCGATTTTATTATTTTTACTTAAAGTTACAATAATAACCCATGTAAACTAAGATCAACTGCGATCGGCTGTGAAAATTATCTGCTGAAAGTAAACTTGTAAGTTCGTTTGTCCGAATTTCCCCTTTGTCTTCGTTTTTATGACGTCACGGCTGCGCTGCGCTATTCAGTGGTTCCGATATTCGTCTTCAAGCAATCCTCCAAGTAGGCGTTGCAGCAAATATCACCACGATCCGAAAGACACGGTTGTTTCTTAATTCTGTGTATTATTCTTCGTTTATCCGACACTCCAACTTGATATCCTAATTGAGAATGACAACGTTTTTCGCATATAGTAGCTTTTCTTTTATTGTGCTAACGCTTTGGACGTGTTTCGAGGTACGAGGCTCAACAGCTGAAAACCCACGAAGACGACGATTTTACAAAGATGCCCAATTCACAGCCATTCAAAGTAAGTCATTCATTTTTATCAGCTGTTTTTTAACTGCCATATGCTCTGAAAATAAGGCTGCGTTTACGCGGTACCGGAAGAATTTTTTTAACTAGTCAAAAATTTGACGTCTACATACCGTTTACACGGAACCGTCTCTTTAATTGTATAAAAAATACGTTCTGTTTACATCGGACCGGTCCTAAATTTGCACGGCTAGGCTTATTAATTTTTGCCGTTCGGATATAGTTCAGTCCTGTGTGAACGGAACCCTTGTGCAGTTACACTGACAAACCCAACAACGGCTTCAAGAGAGATTTTGCAAGAGGCGTTTATATTTTTCGGTTGAGTTTTAAGAACTTGTGGTTGTAACTTTGGACGGCCAAACTTTCTTTTTTCTTTTTTTTTTTTTTTTTTTTGCTTCAGTTCACAAACAAAATGATAACGAATATTTATTTTTGTAATTCGTACAATAACTGATTCGCACTGAATGGTTTTCATAAACTCGAAAGTATCGAGGTGACGCAGATCATTAACTATAGAAACGACTTTCTAATTAAAAACCTTTTCTTTCCTATTCAAATGATAAAACAAATCATTTGTTCTGTAAGAAATAAGCCGATAATAACCGGAAGGGTTACTAGCTGGGACTTTGGTGCATTTAATAAACAAGTGAAAAAGGAGAAAAAATTTGAACGCCATGTAAAAAAAATACAAACTCTACTGATGCGAATTTTTACTCTGGCCACAGAATTATAGATACAACTTCTATTTATTTTATTTTAT